TACTTTACACTCACATATGTATAAACCTTCCCAAAACTAACGAGGAATCCCTCGTTTGTTTGCAAACAAATGTTAAAATTTGACACAAAACAGCTTCATTACACAAAATTACACAGATCATTTTCTCATGGCTCAATGCTGCAGAATCTACCAATACAGTTTCTGCAGCAATGAAAACTTGAGGCCATAGTAATGTACAGTTTCTTCAAGAAGTTTTATCATATAATTAGGTCACAAGTCATAACATTCCTGTCTTTTTTTTTAAAAATGCCACAGATGACATGACATGCAAGGTCAAATTCCCATTCATTCAATGCCTGAACTGAATCTGTGCTAGGGAGATGGTTAAGATTAACATGTAGGTTGTTTTGAGCCAGATCAGACACCCCCCTCAAAATATTTTACGGTAGCCTAGACTAACTTTCTTATTGTAAAGGAAGGCAATGAAGTGCTGTATTCCAGATGCAGTGTAACTGGTCAGACTATTTTGACGTTAAGCAAAACAATTTAAACACTACAGTTCAAACAAACAAAAAGAGGAATTTAGAATAAATTAGATACAGTAACTATCAATTAATGTTCTAACACACTAACAATGACATTCAGACAGATTCTCACATGCAGTTCTCCAATCCAGAAGGAAAAAAACATCAAGACAAAATTCAGAGCATAGCAGCCAGGAGACACTGACTGAAGCTTCCAACTCTTGAGACCCAAATAGCTTCTGCTTAAAGCTAAACCTGAAAACTACAAATAAAAACCTAGAAAACCTGGTCTATGACAACGGCCACACCCAGGCTGCTTCCACTGTTCCAACTTTAAAAAAGCCCAAGGCCTCACAAGTTGTTTACTTTCTTACAGGCAGCTCACAACCTGCCTTACAATCTCCTTCTGCTCCAAATAACAAAACCAGGACAAAATAACCTCTTGAAAGCCACATTATTGTCACAAGGTTCAGTCAGCAGTTAGGAAGGCAAATACAATGTTAGCATTCATTTCAAGAGAGCTAGAATACAAGAGTAGAGATCTACTTTTTTCTCAAGGAGGGTCTAGGCCCAAAACGTCAGCCTTCCTGCTCGGCCTGCTGTGTTCATCCAACTCTACACCTTGTTATCTCTAGAGATGCACTTCGGAGTCTGTAAAAGGTTCCAGTCAGACCACACACGCAATGTTGAATGTTTTGGGCCCCATATCTAAGGAAGGATGTATTGGCCTTTGAGGGGGTCCACAGGAGGTTTACAAAATTGATCCCAAGGATGACTAGCTCGTCACAGGAGGACAGGTTAAGGATTTTGGGTCTGTACTCAATGGAGTTTACAAAGATGAGAGGGGGAGGGGGTCTCATTGAAACTTAGAGAACCCAGAGGGGCCCGGAAAGAGTGAATGTGAAGATGATTTCACTAGTAGGAGAGAATAGGACCTGAGGGCACAGCTCAGCGTGAACAGATGATCCTTTAGTGGTGGATCTGTGGAATACATTGTCACAGAGGGCTCAAGAGGCCAAATCAAAATGTATTTAAAGACAGATAGATAGGCTCTTGATTAGAGATCAAAAGGTCACTGAGAGAATGGGGTTGAGAAACATCAGTCATTATCAAATGGTGGAGTAGACACAATGGGCCAAAAGGCCTAATTCTACTCCTACGTCTTAAGGAGAGGCAAAGCTGTCGTATGCAAAACAAGGGGAAATAAAAACAAGTGGAGGTGTCATCACATTCCAGATTATCAAAGATGGGTAGATTGAACACCAGATTGCGACCAACCATTTAGCAGAAATGTAGGACTTGAAAATAAATAAAAATTAAAGTATCATACTTGAAATTAAGCAACCATTTTCCAGCAAAAGAAATTCAACAACCCCTTTTAAGTTCGATATTGCAGAACATTGTTGGTTGTGGCCAATGATAATCTGGAGACATTTAAGAATGTAAACAAAATGTTAATAAAAATCCAACCATGGATACAGAGTATGGATTTCTTTGAGGAGTTGATTCATAGTCATGGAGACAAGAACAAATTCAGTTTGCTTGACAATAGATAACTTCTTAACCAGACCAAAGCTTTCTAAGAGAGCTCCATCTGATGGTCAAACAGTAAAAGGGATAACTTGGTGCACTGCACAGACAAGAGGTCTCAGTTCAATACCCGCCTGGACTTAAGATGGCATCAGCCAAACAAATCGTTACAAAACTCTGAACAACATCAGATCACCAGGAGGAGGGAGTAAGGGGAAACAAGACATTAAGCCAGTATTTCCATCCATAATTGCTATCCCAATTGTATTCTGGAAAAATGCTCATTATTAAATGCAAACAAGAATGCAAGTCAATTGATAAACTCGAGCAAATGTGATTTAAAATTTTAATAGCCAGTCTTGTTAGTCTAGACGTCTTCAAAATACACCCAAAACCAAATAACAACAGTAATGCATCTTCAAGAAAGAAAAATGAAGTCTTCATGTCATCTCCAATTTCCGGTCACTTGCACATCCAAATTTTCTCCTGGTTACCGATCAGTGTGGCTTCAACTGCTAAGGCCCAAAGCATTGGTATTCCCTTCTTAAATCTCTCCACAGCTCTCATTTAAGATTTTTCTTCAAACATTTTTTCTCCCCCTACCCCCAACGCAATTTTTTTGGTTACTTGTCCTAATATCTCCTTATAGAGTTTGTCAAATTTTACCTGACAATTCATTCCTGTGAAATGCCTTGGGACATTTTACATCGAGGCACTACTTAAATACAAGTTGCTATTTGCATCTCTCCAAATATGTTCCCCTAACCAGACTCTCAGTTCTTATAACAATACCTTAAATTTTTCCTGCATCATTTACATCAATTTGGAATATTGAGCATTCCTTATCCTCCCAATTGTAATATTAAAGGTTTGGTAAAATGACATAACTGTGTAGCCTCACTTCAAAGAATAACAATTTCCATTTAACAAGTTACAATTCACTTATGACCTTACAGCTAACTTTTTCTGGCAAGCAGTGCTTGTGGTTATATTTATCACATTCACATCATTCCACGTCATAAGAAAATCAACATGAACTGTATAGAATTAAAATATACATGAGAGCATTGCTAAACAATCACAACAACATTAAAATTACATAGAATATTTTTAATTATTCTAAGTTTTAGCTCTATTGCTCGGGATAAAACTGGTGCTCCAGTTATAACTGAAGTATTGCACCCCCCGAATGAAAAAAAAACACTGAACAAATCATGCTGGGACCCAAAGGCTCAAAATCTGTTACTTTTGCATCAAGAGTGTACTGAAACCAGTTCTGCTCAAATACCTGACTAGGTACTATTAGCCTTTTCAAATAAGTTTATTTCCATAATGTACAAATGAAACAATTCTTTACAGTTAAAGCATGTTCCAAAAGTGAAAATTGCTGTTTAAAAAAGGTGCCAAATGGAATATCCAGGACAATATTTTCAAATATGAAGGATTATTTTTTCTCCTCAAATCGTATTTTCAACATCAAGTCGTTTTACTAGAATTCTACGGTTAGAAATAATCTATTCTGCCAAATGTCCTTCAGCTACTACAGACAGGAATTTGCACGTTTGCTAAATCGTGTGTAGAAAAGCCTGAAATAGAAATTGTCGTTTCAGTACGCTGCTGGATGTGACTCATAGCCGAATCATAGATGGTTACAATACAAAAGTTTCTGAACTTCACAACGAACATAAGTGTCATAAACATATTAGTCAATACTGTGGCATTTCTGGTAACAAGTCACGCAGATAAGGCAATAGTCAACCTTTTCAGGGAAGAGCCCAGTCCTTTCCCTTAATTAGCCAATCTATCACGGTATCATTTTGAGCCAACAGCTGTTTGATGCTGATCTACTTAAGAGTCTCCCCTCCCACAGTCGTGAGGAACGTCAGCACGGGGCCGTGCACTATCAAACCATAACAACGCATGGTCATCATACCAAGAGACATACTGTCCACGCCTAGCTTTTGGCAATAATTCGCCAATGTTAAGTTCAATATGTTTAAAGTATGTCTGTTTCCAGGTCCGAGAAGGCATGTGTATGTAACTATAACTCGTTGTTGCAGACGAGTCCATAAAAAGCAGTCCCTCCTGGTGAATTCCTGTCATTCCGAAGCCAGGAGCGATAGTCATTTTTCACACTATCATGCTTTTCACCCGATTTCCAACTCAATACAAACCAAAAAAAAAGATAGACAACCACAAGAGGAAATCCAGCACGTGGTGACATTGAAATTGAAAGTAGATGCACCCCGAAAACACTTTTATAGAACCGAGAAAATTTGAAAACATACCCTACCCAATATCGATTTATCTATTTTGGGCCTCAAGACAAGCTCCCGATCTGCAACTGCACAGACCAAAAAATGTCACCCAGCTACATACAAGGGCGGATTGGGAAAACCGGGCAAATCCTAGTGACTAAAAGTCATTCTACAATACAACTGGCGGGGGGGGGGGGGGAAGGTGAAGAAACAGAGACAGCCCATTCGATTCAAAATCATTCTGGCAAAATTCGGGCTTTCCACAACAGCCTGCGAAATTCAAACAAGGACGGTCCGATCCTTCAAAGCCAGGGACCCGTACGGCTTCGATTTTGATTAATCCCCCTTTCCAACCCCCGACAATGAATGTTGGTCTGAGACAAAGAGAATAAATATCCTGTCTTCCGACACCGGCTCCGGGACTGAGCACACAAACCGGTATTCCCTCGCATATATCACAAGCCCAACCGACGCGGCACATCGACGTTTGTTTTTAATCATCATCACCGAGTTCAGACCCAAGTATTTCTGTTTCCCTCCCTGTCCCTGAAGAAGGGGGGAAAAAAAAAGAGGGGGTTTTGTTTTGGCTGTCGCTGTTACTCGGGCCCCACCGAAGCCGCGCTCGCCCTCTCCCTACTCCCCGCCTCATTGCCGCTCGAGAGCCCGCGAATAACCTCTCACATTTTTTTTCTTATTTTCTCTCTCTCTCACTTTTCCCTCCACTTACATAGACTGGTAACGGCCAGGGATACACAGCGGGCTCCGCACCCACTGGGCTTTTAAGACGCAGTTCGTGCTTCTCACCCATTTTCTTCCTGGTACTATCATGCTATGTCTTGACGGATTGAAAAGATTTTGGCAAAAAAAAAGGGAGTTAAGAGTCGAAATGGAAGAAGGGTGGGAGGGAAGAGGGGGGCGTTGATTTTTTTTAATATATGAGTGAGTCAAAAAAAAGTTCAAACGTAATTTGTCATCATATCCCTTTCACGACTCCCTGTCACCAGATCCCAAAGCCCGGCCATCTTGGGCCGGCGTGAACTGAGCGACCGAGAGAGCTGTACCGCAGGCCAGACCAATGCGCGAATATAGGGGGTTTCCAGAACCTCCTACAACCGTCATTTCATCGTTGCACGGCTCCGCTCGACTTTATTTCACAAAATTCACATGACCCGTGCGCAAAAATCTGCATGCCCTTCGATTCGTCCCGAAACGGGTCGAAGCAAACGACAAGGTCACGCTGATTAATCCCTCCTCCGTTGAACATTGCGGTTTGCCGGAGGTTCTACCAAGTCGGAGACGCGGGGGGGTGTTTTGACACCACAAATGTATGCTAATTAGCCGGGGCCGACTGTTCCAAGCACGTGATGTGGAGAGAACAGGAGACATCTGAAGGGTGTGTTCCTGCGCTGCGCTCTGGAATGTGCAAAGGTTTTATTGTGAGAGCCCTGAGTTGTGAATCAATGAAAGCCATCTCTGTGCTAGGTTTTATTGTCAGCGCCTTGAGCTGTGTATCAACTGAAACCGTCTTCTGTGCATAGATTTTATTGTTAGGGCTCTGAGCTGTGTATCAACTAACACCATTTCTGTGCAGGATTTTATGGTGAGAGTCCAGAACTGAGCTAAAAGCAACTGATTTACACCATCACAGTACTGACTGATCATTCTTCAGAGTGAAACTTGCAAAATTATAAGCTGTGTGTATCATCATCCACTCACCCAAGCCACCCTCTCCAAATTGAAGGTCATTTCCTAGTGATATAGTAAAATTCTGATTATTTTAATCTGATTATACTGCCAAAGAATATTTACAGGATCTGCTGAGGTAAGCAAAACATGAACTTTATTCAAGAATTATTTTATCTTCATGCTGGCATAAGGCCATATGAGAGAGCAGGTTCTGTTTTATGGCATCACTTCCTGTGACTATGTAGATTGTCTCATTAACATATATACAAACAGACTTAATCCTTTGTATGAGAACACCTCTTTCCCCCCAATTCTCTGATTTCAATTTCTTTTCATCCAGGGACAACTGCTGTGCTGGTTTTCACTTGTCTACCTGAACATGTTCTTATCTCCTTTGGAGGAGATTGGCAATTCAAATCTTCCATGGACTCTCGACTCATCAGTAGGAGAGTTGACAGGAGCCTCCACTTCAGCAACCTGACCGTGACCTGGAACTCTTGATGAATGCAGTATTGCTGATCTGCTCAAATGTGATGCCTTAACTATGTGGAACATTGCCTTTGGGTAGAAATTAGAGCATGTCTGTTTCAGACCACGGTGGTTCAATGTGGTATCTGTTCCACTGCTTCATCAAAGCAAGCTCGGGTTTGAATTCAGACTGGCTGTCCTGGTGGAGGTCTGGCAGTTTGCATGCTTTGACATTCTTCATAGTTTCACCACTGACTGGAATGGTGATCATCCAGTTTATCCCTCATGTTTTCAAGGCAGCCTCTTGTAAACTCATTGTCAGTGTATGTGGAAGAGGAGAGAGTTGCATTCTCAGTCTTCCCATGAGGGGTCTGTATGCAGCTAAACTATTCTGGGGTGGAGTTGAACAATAGCTCCAAAGTGCAGGTTGAATGCCATCATTCTTCTTCAGCAGTGCTTTCACTGTAAATACTCATCTTTTAGCTTCTCAGTTGTCTTGAAGATATCTTGATCACCCAGTAGTATGGACAAATGTATTTGATGTTGAGAACTTTTTATCATACTCAGTGACAAACTGTGGTTCATTATCTGAGATTAGAAGGTCCAGGATTCCAAGTATTGCAAAGATCTCCTTTAGCAATGTCATCACTGCTCCAGTTCACGTGACTCTTCTGGCAACACAATGACTGAGCTAAACCAGAGATACACAAAATTGAATGAAGAAAAGCTCAGGTCAAAGAGTATTGCATCCTGGGGAGTGTTACTGAACAAAGGGACCTTGGGGTGCAGGTTCATAATTCCTTGAAAATGGAGTTGCAGGTAGACAGGGTGGTGAAGAAGGCATTTGGTACACTTGCCTTTATTGGTCAATGCAGTGAGTATAGGAGTTGGGAGATCAATTTGCAGCTGTACAGGACATTGGTTAGGCCACTTTTGGAATACGACGTTCAATTCTGGTCTCCCTGCTTTTGTTAAGATGTTGTTAAACTTGAGAGGGTTCAGAAAATAATTACAAGGATGTTGCCAGGGTTGAAAGGTTTGAGCTATAGGGAGAAGCTGAATAGGCTGGAGCTACTTTCTCTGTAGTGTCGGAGATTGAGGGGTGACCTTATAGAGGTTTATAAAATCATGAGCATGGAAAGGGTGAATAACCAAGCTCTTTTTCCCAGGCACAAAACTAGAAGGTATAGGTTTAAGGTGAGTGGGAAAGATTTAAAAGGGACCTAAGGAGCAATGTTTTCATGCAGAGGGTGGTGCATGTGTGGAATGAGCTGCCAGAGGAAGTGGTGAAGGCTGGTACAGTTACATTTAAATGGCATCTGGATGGGTACATGAACAGGAAAGGTTTACAAGGATATGGGCCAAATGCTGGCAAATGGGACTAGGTTAATTTAGAAGGCACAACAACACCTCTTCTTCCTCTTGTGGCTTAGGAAATTCAGTATTTCCATAAGGACCTTCCCGAATTTTTACGGATGCGCCATAAAAAGCATATTGTCCGGTTGCATAATGGCCTGGTACAGCAGTTGCTCTGCCAAGGACTGTAAAAAACTACAGAAGGTTCTGTGCACAGCCCAGACCATCACGGAAGCCAACCTCCCATTCACGGACTCTATTTACACCTCTCGTTGCCGCGGAAAGGCTGCCAACATCAACAAAGACCTCTCCCACTCCAATAATGCTCTCCTACAACCTCTTTCATCAGGCAGAAGAAACAGAAGCTTGAACACATGCACCAACAGCTTCTTCTCTGCCATTATTAGACTGATGAATGGACTCTAACTTCAAATAATGTTGATCTTGTTTTGCGTACCTCCTGTGCAGTGCAACCTGTGTGCCTCGCTCTTGTAAGCACCCTATGATCTGTACATCCTTGTTTGTTATGATCTGCCTGTACTGCTCGCAAGCAAAGCTTTTTATTGTACTTTGGTTTATGTGACTACAATAAATCAAATCAAATCAAATCAAATAGGGTATCTGGTTGGCATAGATGAGTTGGACCGAAGCATCTGTTTCCTTGCTGAACATCTCTATGACTCTATATGATACATGTCACACAACCCCATTCTCAGATTGTACTACAAACAGAGGCCAACTGTATATAGAGATGATTCATTCACTTATGACAAGATATTAGTCATTCTGAAAATCCTCAGACTTGATATACTGCAGCAATTGCACCAAAGAAATTTGGGTGTCACAAATTGTTGAACCAGAACCAGATAATTTGCTTGCTGACCAGGTTACTCAAAATCATTGGATGATATTGAGCTATATTACTGGTGCTATTAATTGTCTGAATGCAGCCTGTCTTTGTATTAAACCTCATTATCCTTAGTCTGAATCATTGTATTCGTGGAGACATTTTGATAACTCATTAGACTTTAAATATTACTCAGGGTTAATCATACTTCTCTATCTTGAACTGAAGATCCAAGAAACTAATGTAAAATTTTTCACAGAATAATGTAGCAGCTAATGCTTCTTTCTGTATCACTGCAGATCTCTGTTAATAAATGTAAACTGGTCTACATTTTCTATCCATCTATCTGAAAGAGTACAGCAAGCAGTCCTATAAAGATGCACTTGCAGCAATGATATTGTGTAGCCTTGTGTCCCCGTGAGATAAAAATGTCTTTAATTTTCTGAAAAACACTCTGATGTGCTTCCTCCAACAGTATGTATTGTCTTGTAGTAACAGTTTAGGGAAAGTGGCTTATTAGTGACAGCCAAGTTGAACAAGAGCTTTATGATTTTATTTGTCAGAACCAGGAATCTCTGGAACTCAGTCACATTCCAAGGGGCTTGAAACCCCTTCATTGCATATCACACACTGAGACCTAACCCTTCATATTAATCGCCTCATTGCTCAAGTCCTGATTTTATCTGTATTGAAATCTGCACTGACGTGAAACCATGTGGTTTTTTAAATATGACCAAAAATGATCATTGAAATAAGAACAAAGTAGGAATAGAACAGCAATTCAGTTAACATTGGTGGAAAGAAGAGACTATTTCACAATATTGATGCACAGCCTTTCTCAAAATAGAATCACTAAAGGTCTGGGGTTTTCTTAAAACCCTCAGCACAATTCACACTAGCTTGCAGCCGTAGCTCGATTTTTTATTCCATTTTACAGCTCTGTCAAAGTGTTTTGAGGTGTGAAAACTTAACAATGCCTTGCTCTCTCCAGAAACTGACCTGAGTGTTTCTGCCAATTTTCTGTTTTATTTCTTATTTCTAAGAGACTCACCATATATATCCTTTGACAGGAATTTAAAGAGACAGTGTAAAAGCAAAGATTCCTGGCCTTGGTCGTCTCCATCCCAAATTCCTAATTATACCAGGTACAAATTTCACTTCCATCTTTCCAATCTCCAAACTTTCAGCATCATAGAGTACAATAGGCATCTGGCTGCCAGTGGTTCAATGATATAAATCTGATTTCAGGCATCCTGAAAGTCATCCAGTGGCATAGAATCATAGAGTTGAACTGCATGGAAACAGGCGCTTTGGTCAACTCGTCCAGGCCAACCAGATACCCTAAATAAATCTAGCCCCAATTGCCAGCATTTGGCCCATACCCCTCTAAATCCTTCCTATTCATGTACCCATCCAGATGCCTTTTAAAAGTTGTAATTATACCAGCCTCCACCACTTCCTGTGGCAGCTCATTCCATACACGCACGACCCACTGCATGAAATGTTGACCTTTGGGTCACCTTTAAATTTTTCACCTCTCACCTTAAACTTTTTAGTTTTGGACTCCTCTACCCTGGGAAAAAGACCTTGACTATTCACCCTATCCTTGCCCCCCACGATTTAATAAACGTCTATAAGGTAGCACACCACTGGTCGCAGGCCTCCAGTCTGAAAAACAACCTCCCTCTGTCTCCTACCTTCAAGCCAAATTTGTATCCAAACGGCTAGTTCTCCCTCAATTCCATACGATCGAACCTTGCTAACCAGTCTACCATGTGGAACCTTGTCAAACACCTTGCTGAAGTCCATATAGATAATGTCTACTGCTCTGCCTTCATCAATCTTTTTCTCACGTCTTCAAAAAACTCAAGCAGGTTAGTGAGACACGATTTCCCACGCACCAAGCCACATTATCTATCCCTATTCAGTCCTTGCCTTTCCTAATACATGTACGCCCTGTCCCTCGGAATCCCCTCCAACAACTAACCCACCACTCCCGTCAGGATCACTGGGCTATATTTCCCTGGCTTTTCCTAACTACCTTTCTTAAATAATGACACCACACTAGTCACCTTCTAGTCTTCCACCACTTCACCTGTGGCTATT